AAAAGCAAGTAGTTTAATTAGGAGTAGGAGTTTGAGTCCGTTAGGACTAGTCTAGCCGAATCCAACAAGGAAACCTCCTCTTGTAATCTCCTATTTAAGGAGACGCTATTATTGAATGAAGTATCGAATTTTGCAGTTAAGAAAGGAAGTAAGGAGAGTTCGGTGATCTCTTGGACAAATCACCCCCCCACGACCGTCAAAATAGGGCCTGTACGCAAGGCCAAGGGCAAGGAAAGGTCCGAGGCTCTGACGGCGGAATGACCCGTGACACGATCCTACGCTTGGGCCCATAACAGACTCCATGACTAGGCTACACTCTTCGAAGTCTCAGAGATCTTTCAAATCTGCTTCATATTCGGCGAGGATTTTCCTTTGCCTAGCGCATTCATCCAATAGTGACTCAAGCTTCTTTGTTGCCTTCGCGATACTAATCTCGACAACCCTCCGGTAGAGGCGTGCATCCTTCAATGAGCAAAATAAGACAAACTGAGACACTTTGAGGCTAGCTTTCTAGAATGTGTGTGCCAACATGACGACCCGCTCTTCAATCTGAGCCATAAAGAAGCCCATGATAGAAAACGAGTGGCAGGCCTCTAACCGGTCGGAAAAATCTGACCACGAAAGCTCTTCCATTGGGCGATTCATCACATGGTCCATTATCGTCACGATAGTGTTCAACATAGGCCCCACAACTTCTGGATGCAAGTTTGCCTCTAACAACCATCCAACCTGTGTAACAGTTGAAGTAAATTTTGCTACCGATCCAGAAACGCTATACTACTCGCCCTTGAGATGGCCCTGAACCTGGACAAGGTCTACAGCCGCGTAATGCAGAGGAGGGATGTCATGTTTGTCACAGTACTCCCCTTGCTCTTGCCGTATCTGAGTTAACTCCTCCTCATATGTCAGTTCCTCCGATGGGAAGATCACCTTAGGTTCCACACCCTCATCCCCAAGCTGATACTCCAAGACTCCAGGGCCCCCAACTTCCACAATGGGAGTCTCTGGTTCAGAAGGAGCCCTGGTCCCTGCATCCCCAGAGACTTCGGTGCCGACAGGAGAAGCAGCAGAGACCTCTTCATGACGAATTGTCGGCTCTGGGTCTTCGGCCACCTGACCCTCCTCTCGCATCACAGCTTCAGGAACGGCGGTGCTGACATCAACGTCTTCAGCAACCCGTGCACCGTGGCTAGGGGGCTGCGATGATCTCAACTCCGTAATCAATTGCCTGATGATGGGTGTAACCGGCACGCCGGAGAAGGCCACATTAAACGGTGTCTGCGATTAGGCCGAACATAAGTAGTCAGTAGAGAAGGTCTAGACAGGACCAAAGCAGTACACTAATAGAAAACAACAAACCCACGCTTACCACTTGGTCCACGTCAGGGACTCCCGAATCCCTTAGGCCAGGTTGAGTGTTCTTTGCGCCCACAAACTTCAAAGTAAAAGACTAAACACTAGTTAGCTATAACCCCAGCACGCATTCGCAACATCACTACAAAGAGTTATAGCAACAAACGCATGTTACAAAATCAAATTAGAACGATAAGGGAAAAGCATATCAAAAGAATAAACCGCGTACCGAGTCTTCCTCTCCCGGTACCTTCTTTCGAGGTTGGGGGCTATTTTCTTCACACGCTGACTTGAAAAGTGGACACAAATGATCTTCTAGGGTGGGACAGCGATTGCTGATTGCACTGATCCCGCATGGGAGTTATTTCCCTCGTTGGGCGCCATAGTAGAGGGTTCTTGCCTAGCCTCAGACTGACGGTCCTAAGCTGGCGATGAGGCAATACTTGAAACCATAGTCTATGGTACAATCGTCGGCTGAATTAGGCTTGGTAACTTCTGACGGGGTATCCTCGCCGATCTCAACCTCTTCACCGACGATGACTACTTTCCCTTTCCTCAATGAGATGCTTCCCATTGCGTTTTGTCGCCATTCTTTCTAGTACAAGCAATGGGACAACGATTAGGTTATTCCCCTGATTGGCAACGTGGCCTTCCAGAGGGGCCATGATGTGACGGAGGCGGCGACCAAAATGTAGCAGCTCTTGGAAACCTCCAAAGAGTGCACAAAGATAAGAAAAATGCAGGGAAGTACAACCTTGTGCCCTTGCATAACCTGCGATAGGGAATCGGACACACCGAGGGAACGCTAATTCATGACATCGAGAACAAAAGATGTCTTCCCCAGTGGACCTCAAGAACTGGGCACCTATGTTGTCGTATCCGAACTGACAGAGGACTCGATCTGGTCGGTAGGTGCTTAACTGAGCCTCCCCCTTGCGATTCAAGTACGCGGTGATGCCGGGCCAAGTTATTAGCCGCGCTATGCCTGTGGCAGGGTTCCTCGCCTTGATGGCGCACTATTGGTCACCACCCTCTGGAACTGCCATACCTATGCAGAAAGGCCGTCAAGCGAAGCCAACCTGATGTCAATCTCGCCCATCCTAAACTACTTCTGCCTACAGGCCTGGTGCCAGCGCTTCCCCCTACAAACCTCAAACACTTATTTTTCAACACCGTCCCCCTCCATAGTGGCAACCCTAACCCGAATTACGGACAGACGGTGGGGCGTGATGCTGAGGTCGAAGCATTCACATAAAAACATCCATAAAAATAGTGCGCATATATAAATGATGCACCCTCTTACAGATACCCCAAAAACAACGAAGCCAAGGGCAATTGGTGTCCACTAACAGCAAGGACGGCAATAGGGACCAAGGTTGAGCACAAACCATAGTCTAGAGGGCCGAGGAAGAGAAATTGAGAAGCCACATACAGAATATAAGCAGCCAGATGACACTGACTGTCTGCACCCTGAACCATCACATCCCTCTTAGCTACTATGGGACTCGAACTAGTACTCAAGCGATCTCTCCAATGACATCTTCCCTCGGTTTACCAGCGCCTTGTATGTTGCAATCTCCCCAAGAAGTTGGTCATAGAGTTCCCCCAAATCAGCCGGAACGGACCCAATATGATGCAAATGTTGCGCAGACAAAGAACCCCCAATAGGTAATGCCAATAATGCGGCCACATCCTCCATGGTAACCGTAAATTCTCCAAATGCACCCACAAAAGTGTGGATGCGACAATGCCAATGCTCTAGAAGATGTCTCACATACTTGACCCCCTCTCTAACAAAAAGATTCATGTAGCAGTCCACGAACCTATGAAGCCCTGAATCCTGCAACATACAACAATGCATAGGGTTCTTGAAGATATGTTGTGTCCAAGCCTTATAGCTGTTGGGAGACTTCGAGCCCCATCAGTCCCGGACTCTTGGCATTTGTATGATATGGATTGGTCGGGGTAGTCACACCAACACATCAATTCGGTGTCGGAAATGACATCGAACGTTCCTCCCCTACCTCGGGATATAGGCATTGGGGACCAAAAACACCTTCTACCATCAGCAATTGTAGCTGCTTCCCTCTCATACAACATTTCTACCGTATCCACTTCCTTAACAAAGTCAAGAAAAGGGCATTCAATCTTTTTCTCCACCTTCTTCCCAGTCTTCTTCTCTGCCCTTTGCTGACGAGGAGCCATGAACGAAAAATAGATTGGGAATAGAGATACAGTTGCTAAGCGTATAAAGGGATCTAGCAAGCACAATAAGCAACTAAGAACAATCAAGCCAAGTGGGGATCTTAGGTGATCCACTGCCCTTTTAAACGCAGTCCCATGTGCTGGGAATGATAAACGACACCAGGGAAGATGAAAAGGTGCGAGTATGGGATCCCAGCCAACGCTTGACGAAAAAGTAACTCCTACTAATTTACAAAAGCACCCTCCAAAAGGTGGGATATAACGGTGCATTAATTTAAATGCAGCGTCACATCAGCAACCGCCACATCAAGTGGTCAGGAAGGCCTGTCGCTTAGACAAGCACATTCCCCTCTCGAGTGACCCCTTTCCACCAATGGTCAGGGAGGCTAAAGTTCACAAACAAAACATAGACTTTCCCAATGGTCAGGGAGGCTAATGCACACGTGGGTTATGAGGATCTCTGGGAGAAGGGAAAGTTAATCTTCGAGAGATCCCAAAAGAACACGTGGAGAAACCCTAGCAATGCTCCTTAATAGTCGACGACGAATCTAATATTCTCCTTCCTAGTGGAAAACAAATGTTTTCAGCTCCTTCCTTTTAGAATCTCGAGATCCTCCCCTTTAAATAGAGATCCCCCTCATGACGAAGCGCATTCATCTAGCTCTCAATTAACCCTATCATCAGACTCCCTGCTCCACTATCTCCTCACCCCTCTTTTGCCCCAAACCTCTTGGTTGATTCTCTGCCCCCAGTTTTCCTTTGTCTTTCAAGGAGACCACCCACCAGCCTAACCACTCCTCACTTACAAAATCATTGTGTGAAGTTATAGGCATAATTTTGTCCCAAAGAAGTGCTTTTTATTGACAACAGAGGAGTGGAAGAACGAATACACTAGAGCTTGCATTTTCTATAATATCCAAATAATGAAATATAAATCCTCTTATTATAATTTAAATAGTGGCATAAACATATGGATCCTAGTCCCAAGTCCCAAGCAAACATTACATGCACTTTTTCCTAAAAAATAGAATTTTTATGCTAATTTTCTCTCATTGTAAACTCTGTTTTGAAAGAAAAAGAAAGAAAGTGAATGAGAAGATTTTAGATCATCCTCCTGAACTGATGGGATAGCAAAGGGTTCTTAAATTAAATCAAAATTAATTGGATATTTGGATTACAAGACTAATAAAATTGATTTTGCTTTCAATTTTACTTTTATTTTTTCTCGCTTTGAAAAAAATAGACTTTCCCTGGTCCCCACATAAATCTGGAAAAAGAACATGGGATTTTTGGTTAATGAGAATCAAAATCCCATTGACCAACTTCCCTCTCAAAATCTAGAAAAAGAACGCCCCCTTACACATAATTGGATTACTCCTTGCTCTACATAATTTGGATCAAAATGGCCAAAAGATTCTTTGTTGCTTATTCTCATAAGCCATTCCAAGAAGATGTTAGATTAATGAAAGAATCTACTTTGCACGGGATTGTGAGAGCACCCATTGTATGATCGAAGCCAAACTCTTCTTCAGCCTGACTTAACAAAGCTTGGAATGAAGGATGGTTCAAATAGGATATTGGAACTATAAACCGCTTCTTCTAGGTTTCTCCTGAAAGAATGGTAGGATCCATCTAATGGATGCCAAGAAGGTTGCGGAATGGGTGGGCGAATTTCAAAAATTTTCCT